ACTTCTGCCTTATGACTGTATCATCCTGAAGTTCTTTTTTTTTTTTTCTTTTTAAGATTATTTATTTATTTATTTGACAGAGACAGAAATCACAAGTAGGCTGAAGTAGGCAGAGAAGCAGGCAGATGGAGAGGGAGAAGCAGGCTCCCTGCAGAGCAGAGAGCCCAATGTGGGGCTCGATCTCAGGACCCCGGGATCGCAACCTGAGCCAAAGGCAGAGGCTTAACCCACTGAGCCACCCAGGTGCCCCCCGTCCTGAAGTTCTTAACAGAGTTGTCTGCACTGAGCCTCCAGCAATCCCTCCATTACCATTCCAGTTTTCCTGCTCATGCTCTGGATGCTCCAGAAGCCACATTCCCCATATTGACTTAGTGGTCTCCCCCAGTCCTGGGGGCATTTTCTATCTTTCCCTCCCTTCTGCATCCCAAAAAGAGTTGGTTTTTTAGTGTGTTCGCTTGTTACTTGTTAGGCCAGGCTCCTTACACGGGGAACTGGAAACAGGAAGTTAGTATATTGAAACTCAAACCTGCTCTTTCAGCTTCTTACCACAAAGTATCCTGAAACATTTATATTGTATTATCTACAAGTAGAGAATGAGCACAGAAAGCACTGGATTCTTTTGGGTTAAACTGGTGGATATTGTTACGATTTAATTGATTATGTAACCTCACCTTCAAAATTCAGATTTTCATTGCATGCTCTTTCAGATCTAACTCCTTGTATCCATTTGATAAAAATTGAAATGATTCCATTGTCTGGAAACCTGAACTGTTAAAAATGCTCCACTGGGGCCTTAAGTTTTGTTTGGTTTTGTCTGAAAAGGAGTTTAAACTTGGGTTTTAAAGGGGTCATCAGTGTTTTCTTTTCTTGGAGTGTGAAATATAAAAGCAGTTTAGGAAACACCTCTGGGATGGAAATTCTCCAGAATCTCAAAGTTTGACCAGATTTTCAGACTGCCTCATCTTCTAGACTCAGGTACACCCCACACAGACTCATCCCTGGGGCCTGTACCCCAGGGGATACAGGGAAAGGGACTCGAAGACCCTCGTCTAGCTCCAAGGGAGATGTTTGTCATACTTACTGTACTTGGCCACCCTCGTTTCAAGTTCATCACACACCTTGTTCAACATGTTTACTTTTTAAACACTCAGAGAATTAACAGGTGGTTGCATGACTGAGATGTTTGTTTTAACAGGCAAAAAAGTGGGAGGTAGTTTATAGACACACACTATGATGCAATAGGAAAGTATCTAATTATTCCATTTTTGGCTCAGCTTTTAGCTTCAGTTAAAACTGCTGATAGCAAGGCTCAACAAGTTTTGTAACCCAGGACTCTTAGCAGTGTCTGCCTATGAGAGACCGGCTCACTGGCGGTAATGGCCATTCCCTTGTACATAAAAGCTTTTTCTTGGCTTTGGCACTAGAATTTAGGAAAGAATCTCAGCATTTCTGTCATGCACGGTTCACAGTGTGAATGCAGAAGGCTCTGAAAGTCCCGTATCTATGTCCGCATGCTCTGCAAACCAACTCATAATGTTTTCTGTCTGAACATCGAATGCCCAAAAGTAAAATCCTGGTAGCAAGACAGCTAACGGATCTCTGGCCTGCTAGGTTCATTCTGATGCATTCGGGTATAGGTTCTTGCACTGTCTTCATGCAGTGGAAGGAGAGAGGATTTTTGCTGGATGGTTGTTCATTTGGTTTGGGGTCAGGGGACTATTGCCAGAAGTAGACATGGTCCAAGATAGCGATTTGAGATCTGGGATGGCTACCTCTTTCTGTAAAGGGCCAGAGAGTAAATACTTTAGAAATAACGGGCCATAGGATCTGTGTGGGAACCCCTCGACTCTGCTGTTCGAGCACAGAAGCGGTCATGGATACACAGAAACAAATGCGTGTGGCTGGTGGCTGTGTCTCAGTAAAATGTTACTTACAAAAACAGGCGGAGGGCTAGATTGGCCCATGGACCACCTGTTGTCAAGCCCTATTCTGGATCCCTGAACATTATACCACTGAGCTGTATGATTCTGACCTCCCAGGAAAAACAGTTGTAGTTTCCAGTTAACCGAACTAACACATAGAACCTTCAGGATTCCCAGCCAAGACTTCCCCATATTTGTATATATTAAAATTGTTGTCAGAAAGAAGAGCATTTTTTTCCCTTGCTGGCTTCTTTTGGGTGCTAATCCGAATTGTGTTATTTACTTGTCATTTATACCCCACTTCCTTCCCAAAATAATTTGAGGTACCTTACAGTAAAAAGCATGTATAGGTTTTAGCTGTCAAAACAGAGATATAAAACCACAACCACATGAAAATGTCACACCAAACAACATCTGAATATTCCATTTCCACCCGCCAACTCAAGCAGGTAGCTCAGCCTTTTTGGGACGAACCAGTCTCTCGGACACCTCCTGAACTGAACACTGATATGCTCTGTGTTTTATCTTTCCTAGCATAATTTCCTTCCTGAAAAAATTTTCTCCTATGTTTTATAGTGAGTCTTCTACCAAAGGAAATGTTCGTATCTGTCATTTTTCTTCTGATTGCAGTATAACCCAAGAACTCTTATACAGCTAAGGGGGTACATGGAAAGAAAAGAGAAAATCACAAGCTAAGGAAAACTTTGGTGAGCCCGTGACGTTCAGAACAGATTTGGGGGCCCGTGGAGAGTCAGGGGACTGTTCCCAGTCAGTCACAGGCTCATGCCTGCCCTCGGAGGAAAAAGAAGCCGTACGTTGCTTCAGCGTCGAGATGGTCAGAAGCCCACTTCCGAGGTGGACAGGGGAAGTGGGGGTTTGGGATGGCTGCAGGGAGGGGTGATGTTTAGTGGGTGATGTGGAAACAAAGCCAAGGGACTTGCAGCCCTGCCAGCTGGAATCGTTCTGAAATTGGAAAACTGGTCTATGGGGCAACAGGGCGTACAGATGACTCTGATCTCAAATCCGAGCTAATGTGGGATTCAACTGCTTAGCTGAGTGGCTGCCAGAGGTCACGGAGAGCCCAAGGCTGGAGGGTCTGCTAGGATCCCTGGCACTGGGGAGGTGAGACAGATGTGCTCAGGCAGACACTGGAGTTTAAAAGGAGGAAATGCAGAAAGACTTCCCTAGGAAACCTGAATACCAGGCAAGGATCCATTCACAAGTGAAGACAGAAGCCGCTCGGCTACCTGGCATTTGGATTAGCAACAGCAGAGTGGAGCGAGAAGCAAGGTGGGGTTGGTAGTAAGGACAGGAGACCACGCTCGCACCAGCATTGCAAGATGCAGTCGTGGGCTAACTCGACGACGTAGAAGACATCAGTTCTGTAACTGGCACCTGGGAAGATGTTCGATCTCTGTTTTGTTTTGTTTTGTTTTTTAATTTTATTTTTTATAAACATATATTTTTTTCCCCAGGGGTACAGGTCTGTGAATCGCCAGGTTTACACACTTCACAGCACTCACCATAGCACATACCCTCCCCAATGTCCATAACCCCACCCCCCCTCTCCCTCCCCCCCTCCCCCCAGCAACCCTCAGTTTGTTTTGTGAGATTAAGAGTCACTTATGGTTTGTCTCCCTCCCAATCCCATCTTGCTTCATTTACTCTTCTCCTACCCCCTTAACCCCCATGTTGCATCTCCACTTCCTCATATCAGGGAGTCGATCTCTGTTTTAAAGACATTTCATCTGCTTAGTGAATTGAGAAACATCCTAACCTCTACATGGAAAAGAGAAATGAAGAATTTCCGACTTATGCGTCAGTCCCTTCTCTCGTTCACTCTTGCTGGGAAGGCAAATCGGGGTAGGGTTTGGAGGGAGGAGGCCGTTTGCCGTTATCCATCAAGGTGATCAGCGTGCCGGGCTATCTGACTCTGCGTCTACACCGGTACAATGTATTGTTTCTGAGAAAAGTGCACCCTGTCAAGCTGGCAAAGATGTTTGTGCCAAGATGATCATTTTATGAAAAAATGGAAGTGAAGTGCTGAAAAAAATTTCAGATTGCAGTTTTTGGATTTCAGTACCCCGTGTAAGGGATTGTGGATCTGGTTATACAGGTTTTTAAGTTTGGCAAGGACCAGTTGTGAAGTTGGAAAAAGTCAGTTTGGGACAGTGTATACAGAATGGTCCCCTTTCTTTGAAAGTAATAATTGTATGTGAAAATACATGCACGGAAGATCTAGAACCACACGCAAAATTTCCCGTGATGGTTATGATGAGTGGACAGGTCTCCGTATATGAGAAAACAAGCTGCTTCTTCCTGTCGACCAGATGAGAACCCCACCGCCCCCCTCCCCCTGTCACAGACACTGGGGGAGCAGGAGGTAGAGACGGTCCTCAAGTAGTGGGTTCAGCTGGAGAAAACCATCTCATTAGCAGGAAAAGAGGCTTCTCTTTTCATCACCAGCTATGAGGCTTATGTCATCATTATAGATCTGCCTGTCTAAGTCAGGTGAATTCGTTTATTCCTTAAACAAATAGCTTCGAGTGCTGCGTGTGAGACACCACGCAAGGCCCTTGGACTACACAGCAGGACAGAACAAAGGTAGTCTCAGGCAGAGGCCTGAGCTGTGACTAGGAAGCCAGGGGAAGGTGTCCTGTTTCACTGGACGCACATCGGCGTCCAGGTCTGGGTAACAGCAGTTGGCATTACAGTGAAATCCAAGCGTCTCAGTTTTTTTCTTCAGTGTAGTCTCTTCTGTTTAATCTCATGTGTTTGAAAATAGAGTTTCTGATGATGATTACTGTTTCAACTCTGAAACCACCAGGAAAAGGTCTCTCGCTGGTCTGTGACAATGACCCACAAAGCCATCAAGTGGCTATGATTTCTGATTGCAACCCCATATCCTGGATTGGCACTGTAGTCCCTCACTCTGCACAAGGAAGAACCTCTAAACAATGTCTTCATGCAGGTGGATAGGTAGACAGAGAGATACATAGACAGACAGACATCTAGATACTTATGCACGTGTCTATTTTCGTCACCTGTCAACTCACGTGTTTGTGTTTTCTTCCACAGAAAAAACAAAGAACGAAAGACCTTTCCCGGGTGTTCCATTCTTACAGTCCGTACGATCACAAGGTAAGAGAAACATGTTATTCATGTGTTGGATTCAAGTCTTTCTGAACATAGAGCACAGTTCCCGCCAGCAGACAGTGATTTTGAAGTATGTTTTCCAATTACATTTGTGTTTCCATTTTAATTTGTCAGCAGTTTATCTATGCTAAAGAAGTCAAAAAATCTTCATTTCTGAACTAAAATAATTACGTCTTTTTCACATTAAAATCCAGTTACACATTGTTCCTGAAATCTCAAAGATGAGGCAAAGACAGATTTGGGGGTGTTATTTACTTGGTTGTTTTTTTTCTTTCCAAATGCTGAAGAAATGAACTTAACTTTTGAATTGGTAAAGACAGTTGAGATAGGCCTTACCAACGCTTTGGCTTTCCATTGCTCCTAACAGAGTTATTTTCTCTGGATAAAATCCCAAAGAAAGAGCAGTATATAACATAATACCTGAAATGCCCGCTTCCAGAAGTTTTGCCCCACAGAAGACCAGATAGTGCCGAGACCCCCACGTATTTGTCCCCCCAACTTGAAGGACCTATGGCCCATGTTGCTTCATTTGTACCCCACGCTCTTTACTCCCTGTATTTGAAGAATTCCCAGACAACTTTTTACTTGTAAGCATTTCACCATCTATCTGCATAAGAGCTCTTTAAAAACACACACGCACGCACACCTGACTGTCTTTAAAGAAAACTCTCACCACCACATCATCGTGGGGAAATATATTACAGGGTTCCCGAGGCTCCCGCACCACTTCCGCATCATGTAAAGGTTCCAGGAAATCTGTTAATTCGAGGTGATTTCAGAAGCGAACAAAAAATTTGCACACTTGAAATGCTAATATAAACTTCAATCTTGATCTGTGAATTTACAAGGAGACATGTGGTGGGGATTTTTTAACTAGCCAAAATAAGTAGTGTGAAAACTATTTTCCTCAGTTGAGAATTACGGAGATGTCTGGATTCAGGAGGAAAAAACTGTGCCAGTTGTTCATAGAAGTTGAAAGATTTTCAGTAGCTTCTAGTGTTTCTGTAGTGACCAATTGACTTTAAGCACCAACAATTTGTGAAAGCTTGTGTTTATGCTTCGTGTGACCATGACAATCTACAGTACTAAAAATGATATCATTTCATGTTGCGTTTTTCAAGTTAAACCAATCCCTTTGCAGAATATGGCAATTTGTTTGAAAGAGATCAGGAGAGCCAGTAATGCTTGACGGTAGAGAGAGAAGGTGCCGGCAGATAAGGAACATGCCAGCAAAGGGAAGGAGGCTGGCCGGATTCCTGATAGGAGAGTTGTAGTGTTTTAGATGAAGCCATTTAATTTAATTAACAGATATGCAGCAATGGCTAAAGTCAACATTCAGGAACAACAAAAGGCTTTGACAAATCAAAGGTCTTGCCCGACTTGTGTAAATTTTGCCCACTTCTAACATTTTTTGATTCACGGTTAAGGGAAATTCCATTATTCTTTTATTAGAACTCTTAATGGAACTTAGCCATTTGCAGCTTCTACCGGCTTCCTCTTCATATCCTTTGTGGCATTGTATCAAAGTCACCTCAGATTATTTTGGCTTCCCTTGTGAAGACTTCATTCCTCTACCAATTAGTCATTGGGCAGTGAGGAGTTGAGTATAAGTGCTAGACGGAGTTCCTTTTGATCTTTGCTTCAGGATCGGTAATAAATTATTGTAAAGAGCTGGACTGCTTGGTGAGTGATTTTTGAAGTTCCAAAGGTTTGGCCTGTTGGCATTCTACTTCATTCTGCATGTGTAGGGACGGAAAAGGGGAAAGTTTCCAGGCAGCTCCTGCCCCTTTCTCCAGCTCCATCCAGACACGTCTCATTGGGTCACTGTCAACCTTTCCTGCTGTTGGCCAGTGTCCACAACGACTAGGACCACAGGGGCTGAGGAACAGACACTGCTCTCTGGGTCTTAGAATCGTCCCCCGCCCCATAAATAAAATACAACAAGGAGGTCATGATTCAAGTTACTTTGTCATTTTAAGTACCCAATTATATTCAACAAATTAGCTTTCTAAGCAGATAGGTTTTAACATAGAATGTTTTGTAAGATGTGGTTAGAGTTGGCTTAAGCATCTCTTGCTCGGTGAGATCTCTGTAGTGATCTTCGAATTAAATATATACATGTTATAAATGAAAGCTTATATAAAATAAAATATAGGCTGTCTGCGACGTGCTTTTAAAAAAAGAATGTGGGGCGCCTGGGTGGCTCAGTGGGTTAAAGCCTCTGCCTTCGGCTCAGGTCATGATCTCAGGGTCCTGGGATTGAGCCCCGCATCGGGCTCTCTGCTCAGCAGGGAGCCTGACTCCTCCTCTCTCTCTGCCTGCCTCTCTGCCTACTTGTGATCTCTGTCCGTCAAATAAATAATTAAAATCTTTAAAAAAAAAAAAAAAAGAATGTAAGGCAGAGAGTGGGTAGGATACAGTAAAATCAGACTGGCCGTGTGTTGATGATGAATGAAACTGAATGATGAGTTTATGGGGGTTCATCATGCTATTCTGAATATTTTCTTTTCTTTCTTTCTTTTTTTTTTTTTTTGTTAACATGGATGGAAATTTTCCTGGGAGTGAACATTGTGGTATTTGTTTCCTCTCTAGCTAGATTCCTTTTATCGTTAATTTTTCCCTTGACGTAAAGTTATACCAAAGAAGGAACACTCAGCATTTCAGTGGGTTCCTTATGCTGAGTCAACTCAGAAATGCAGCTTCTGTTCTAAAGTTGGCATCATTTCCCAGGGTTTCATCCCAAATTATAGTGGGTCACTGAAATGATGGCCCGGCCTGCTAGAAACTGTTAAAACAGTGGTAATTACAAAGGATAGACCAACCGTTCTCTTCCCGGTGAGTCAGCTGTGTTTGCTCTTTTCTCCTCCGCAACTCCCCCAGCCCAGCCAAGATTGCTCCTGCCTGACCCCAGGCACAGGAGAGTCACCGGGTTAAACACACCAGTGGTGTTTGAGTGAGGCCAGGTGTGTTTCTTGATCGTCCTTTGAAGCCACTGTTTCCGTTGTAAATGGTCAGTTGGGTTTCTCTTAAATGCTGTTGCAGAAAGCAAATAAAGCTTAGAGCAAAATGTGCGCTCCAAATGAGTCTTAAGGAAATTACCTGATTTATTTTTTATACTCTAAGACAAATTTGGCTGGAGATGGGAAGAATTTCATTTTGCAGTGTTATCTCTGGTTCCATGACCATTTAAAAAAAACAAAACAAAAAACTGTTTCCAGTTCTTGTAATACAGACTTACAGAGAATGGCTTGATGAAAACCAATTCCCATTTTTCTGTCCTCATAAAAGGGAACATTGGTAAAGAGAATCCAAAGCAGCAGGTAATTTGGTTTTATTTTGTGCTCTGTATGCTGTCCTCTGTTATTTTAATAAACACATAATAAACATAGCTTGTAATTTCTGAAAACACATCATCCTAACTACCAGGAAAAGTTACAGGTCCAGAGCCCTTCCTTGTATCTGGAGTTGAATATTTTCTTTGGATAAGTTACGGGTAAGTAGAGTAGGGCTATAATTAGAACAGTTTTTATTAAAACTCTGCTTATTAGCATGTGCTTTCTGTCTTTGGTCCGAAAGAAGTATTGCCATGCATATAAAAGATGTCTCTCTCTATCTCCCTCTTTATTTCCTTCCTTACCCCCCTTTTTTCTTTCTTGTTAGGTTTTTATCAGAGTTATGTGTTCGTGGGGATATCTCAGTTTATTAGCTAAACACAGATGTTTATCATCTGCTAACGTTAAAAAGCTATTATAAAACATGAAAATTGGAAGAAAAAGTACACAATTCTGTTTCAGTCTGGTGGTTTTTAATATCTGGATAGTTTAGTCTCTAAACACAGTTATTCTCTGTAACTTTATATATATTCCACCATTAAAAGAGAGTCTTAAACGGGTTACTGTTACAGTTTCTATATTTTATAAAGTGAACATCTCATGTTCTTGGAATGACTGTTATTATTTCAGAATTTTCTATATTCATGGACATAAATACATAAACACATGTGAGAGAAGAAACATTACTGTAAAGCCATGTTGGTGGAATTGGCTTTTCCTTTTTGGCTTTTTTGGGGGGTTTTTTTGGGGGACTAGTGTTATTTTAAGAATTTTTCTACCAGACATACATCAGCTGAGCTGTACACAAATTCCTATGTGCCCCCACAAGCAGCTGTGTATGAGTTACCGTACAAGCAGATAGGAGACCGACATCAGTGCTTTATACAGCCAGGGGCCTTCTGTGCGGGAGTCTCCGCGCCTGAAACCCGGTTCAAAGCCTGCCTGCCCGCCAGCCAGGACCCAGCCTGTCCACCTCCCTGTTTAATTCTCTTCCCCCACCTCGTTACTTCTTCAAGTCCCCCATCCACGAGCAGTCTATTTTTAAAAAGAATACTTCTATCAGGCGTACATGTCTGGCTTCCCCCAAAATAATCCACCCCAGCAGCAGCTACAAAGGGGATGGTTATGGCTTCCAGAAGCCAGAGCTCCATTAAAAACTGGCGGCACGCTAAAAGGAGGGCAAGGCCAAGGCCATAAAGACGCTAAGTCATCAACAAAGGAACTCAGAAGTGCTGCTACCCAGATCCACTTAATTTGGACCCAAATACCCAAAGATCCCTACCCATTTTCGCAGTCCCAAAGTAAAATAATTGGCCCTGAATTACATGAAGAGGCAGATGTTTGAGGATAGTAGAGATGTGTATGGTCTATTTTTGGAAATATTGCTATTTTAAGGATAGGTATTATTTATCTTGGAAACTTAGGAATAGCTGTTTTTTTAAAGGTTGGATGAATGAAGTATTACTGTAGAACGTGGTTTAATAACAGAGAAATAGTAAGAGGGGTTGAACATAGTTGGGTAAAGGATGAAATACTGTGTGCAGGCAGAAAAAATGAGCAGAGAATCCATATTCCCCCAAATTACTTTTTTATATTATTAGATACTGTAAAAACCTCAAAGTACATGACATTTTTATCTTAAAGAGTATACTA